ACTCCAGATGTGCACCTTTCAAAAAAGTGCTAGCTCTACTTGCTCATTTTCACTTCTCGAACTTCAGAGGTAAATTGTAAAAAAAAGAGCCGATAACTTTTTTTTACATTTTATGTATTTGGTAATTCAGTCATTGCACTTTTAGAAGCTGATATTATCTAGTTTGGCAAAATTCATTTTCCATATTTTAATAGCTGCCAAGAATAGTGTACCTTAGACAAATTTAGGTTGATTTTTGGAGCACAAGGGAGCAGTCATTTTAGTTAGCAGTGTACTAAGATCATTTAAAATTTCCAAAAGTACAATATCCAAAGAAATTTCATCCACATTACATGAAAGTAGTATATAGGTATGCCAACATTCTCTCCACTGTGCATGTTTAAAATGCAAACAACTTCACCTTACATACATCACTCTCTCCAAAGTACATAATAACTGGTGAGCGCCACCTTTGCCGTCCAACTTTGCAATTTATATCGTCCCTGCCATTCTCTAAATCCTCGTTATATTCATTTAGGATGCAGTATTTTCGTTTTCCTGATGGATTCTCCATCTTGTAAAGTGAGGAAACCACTACAGTATGTTACAAACCTGACTCAAAATAAGCTATCCTTAATTAAAACGAGAAAGAATGCCCAACATCAATATATGAATGTTTTTAAGTAACTAAAATGATTTGCTCTGATTTATAGCAAAAAAATACAATACTATGTCCATGGTATTATATGCAATTTTTAAAATTTTTTTGGGATAAGAGAAAAGAAAATACGTCAGCTCAATACAATTCCAGAGTCCTACTTCCTACTCTGAAAATTAAGTAATCAGACCTGTCTTTTATATAAATATGCTTTGTATACGTTGACCGTTGTACCAACGATACAAAGTTGTAACCAAAGATGTCTGATCAAGCTATAACTAAAGATTTCTGATTAAGCTATAACAAAAGATGTCTGATTGATCTATAACCAAAGATGTCTGAATCAGCTGTAACCAAAGATGTCTGATTAAGCTGCAACCAAATATGTCTGTTTAAGCTATAACCAAAGATGTATGATTAAGCTATAACCAAATATGTCTGATTAAGCTATAACTAACGATGCCTCATTTGTCTTATTAAGCTATAACCAAAGATGTATGAATAAGCAGTAACCAAAGATGTATGATTAAGCAGTAACCAAAGAGGTCTGATAAAATTATAACCAAAGATGTCTAAATAAGCTACACTCAAATATGTCTGATAAAGCTGTAAACAAAGATTTAAGTTTGAGCTGTAATCAAACATGTATGATTGAGCTATAATCAAAGATATCTGATTAAGATGTAACCATACATGTATGATTAAGCTATAATCAAAGTTGTCTCATTAGGCAGTAACAAAAGATGTGGCAGATTAAGCTGTAACCAGAAATGTCTGATTAAGTTGAAGCCAAAGATGTCTGATTAAGCTGTAACCAAAGATGTCTGATTAAGTTATAACCAAAGATGTTTGATAAAACTATAACCAAAGATGTCTGATTAAGTTATAACCAAAGATGTCTGACTAAGCTATAACCAAAAATGTCTGATTAAGCTGTAATCAAAGATGTCTGATTAAGCTTTAACTAAAGATATCTGATAAAGCTATAACCAAATATGTCTGTTTAAGCTATAACTAAAGATGTCTGATTGAGCTATAACCAAATATATCTGATTTAGCTATAACTAAAGATGTCTCATTTATTTTATTAAGCTATACCCAAAGATGTCTGATTAAGCTATAATTAAAGATGTCTGATTAAACTATAAGAAAACGATGTCTAAATAAGCTATAACCAAAGAAGTCTGATTAAGCTGTAACAAAATATGTCTGATTAAGCTATAACCGAAGATGTCTGAATCAGCTGTAACCAAAGATGTCTGATTAAGCTGTAACCAAAGACGTTTGATTAAGCTATAACCAAAGATTCTGATTAAGCTATTACCAAATATGTCTGACGAAGCTGTAATCAAAGATGTTTGACTAAGCTATAATCGAAGATGTCCGATTAAGCAATAATCCAAGATGTCTGTTTAAGCTGTAAAAAAATGATGTCAGATTAAGCTATAACCAAAGATGTCTGATTAAACTGAAACCAAAGATGTCTGATTAAGCTATAACCAAAGATATCTGATTAAACTATAACCAAAGATGTCTGATCAAGCTATGACCAAAGATGTCAGATTAAGCTATAACCAAAGATGTCTGATTAAACTGAAACCAAAGATGTCTGATTAAACTGAAACCAAAGATGTCTGATTAAACTGAAACCAAAGATGTCAGATTAAGCTATAACCAAAGATGTCTGATTAAACTGAAACCAAAGATGTCTGATTAAACTGAAACCAAAGATGTCTGATTAAACTGAAACCAAAGATGTCAGAGTAAGCTATAACCAAAGATGCCTGATTAAGCTATAATCAAATATGTCTGATTGAGCTATAACCAAATATATCTGATTGAGCTATTACCAAATATGTCTGATTAAGCTGTAACAGAAGATGTCTGAACAAGCTGTAACCAAGGATGTCTGATTAAGCTATAACCAAATGTCTGTTTAAGCTATAACCAAAAATGTCTGTTTGTTATATAAGCAAAGATGTCTGATTAAGCTATAACTAAAGATGTCTCATTTGTCGTATAAGCTATAGCCAAAGATGTCTGATCAAGCTATGACCAAAGATGTTTGTTTTAGCTATAACCAAAGATGTCTGATCAAACTATGACCAAAGATGTCCGTTTAAGCTATAACCAAAGATGTCTGATCAAGCTATGACCAAAGATGTATGATTAAGCTATAACCAAAGATGTCTGATCAAGCTATGACCAAAAATGTTTGTTTAAGCCTTCACTATATATGACCATGTTAAAGGCATCGTGAGGACATTAGAGAGCCTACTGTTAAAAATTGAAATTGTTGATGCTGAAGCCAACAGTTTCTTAGCCACGCTATTTGCATGATAGGGAGAACATAGTAAACTTGAAACACTTTTAACAAACGAGAAAATATTAGTGGACTAATGATAATTACGTACATTTCAGACCGCCGATAATCGCAGGATGAGTCGCAGCCTTGCAAAGGAATACACATGCTTAATACATTCATATACGCTTCTAAAAAGTTAAAACATGACATCTATTGTTTTTGTTGTGGTTCCTTCTTAAAATCTGAAATATTTCAGGAAGTTGGTTTAGCCTTGAATATGTTTGATAACATTCCATTTTGCCACCGCTCTTGCGTACGCGACACGAGTCAAACATGCGATTAAATGAGCATAAAAATAAAGTCAAAACAACATATTTATTTTGTTCTCAGTGGGCGAACAAATCGAGTTGGATGCAGTGTTTCATATACAATTACGTACGGCTTATTTGTAATTATGCTCGTTGTATTCATCAGAAGTATTTTTTTCTGCCTGTGACGTCTTTGGGTTAATAACTTTCCTTCAGGCAGCTTGATATATTCAGCGAAATCGTGATGATACCAAGGTTTCATATTTAAAAAAAAATGGCTAACGTTCGGAGAAGACTAGTGCCATTAACGCTATTATTATATACCACCAGTTCTATTGATATTTTTCCTCAATAGATGATTCGGTCTTTTTTGTTAATTGATTGTAAGAAAGCGTTAACATCAAACGAACTATATAAGTTACATCAGTTGTCTGTCTGCGATCATAATCAGGCTACCGATGCTGGTTATATATATATCAAGAAAACAGCCTTTTGTTCAGAAAAGAAATTTTTGATTTAAGATTTTTTTTGTGCACGATATTAAATATCAGATAGATATGCTTTATTTGATAAAGGTTTGCTTAGGAAAAAAGTGAATTAATGTAAAAGAATAGGAAATACATTTACAATAATTACTGAAAGTGTATGATTTCATTAAACAGGTGAAACTCTTTTACAGATTAAGATCGGATATCACATTCCTGACACACACACACACACACACACACACACACACACACACACACACACACACACACACACACACACATATATATATATATATATATATATATATATATATATATATATATATATATATATATATATATAATTTCATGACTCCTACATAAATGAGTTTGATAAAGCCTGAGATTTTTAATCTTAAAATATAGTATTGTACATCCCAGTTGTATTGATTTATCCTTTAGATAATGCGGATTAAAGCTTCAGTCTAGTCCATAAATACAACGTCTTTAATCTGCTAAATGCCGTTCGCATGTACGTCGTGTCAGTGTTCTATATCGGATCTTACTGCGCAGGGAGGACGATACATTGAAGTTTTCAAGGTAGATGTTTTATTTTATTTTTAGCTGAATGTGTTAAGTATGTATGAATAATTCTAAAGCGTAATTCTTAAGAGAACAAATTGATGGGAAATAATTGCAGAAAGATTAACCGAGAACAAGAAAAAATATTTTCAATTACATGCAAAATAATTTTTCACACTTTCGTTTTTTTCTATATTGATTCTCTTATAATTTTGAATTATACTGCTTTAGTGTTATAGGACAATGTTTTTATCTTCTTAAAGTATCAAGAACAATGAGGGTGCGATCGGATATAGAGATAACACTCAGAACACTCATAACAATTATAAGATGTTTATGTAAAATGCAAAGGAGTAACGAATGAATCTGCACACATTTATGATAAAAAATAACAAAGAATATAATAAAACCAAGTTAATTCCACGTCCTTTGACATACATAAAAAAGAAAGAGAAATTTAAACAATTGGGAGTAGCGAGTTTGAACGAAGTTTGAAGACAAACATACCAAGAAGCAAAAACAAAATTGATGCCTTTGTGAATTTCGAACATGTGACCTCTTGTTTGGCAGCCGTGACCCTCAAAATGACAAATGTGGGTATTCATACATTGCCCGTCCTAGGACGGTGGTCATAAAAACAGTTTAAACATAGCAATTAAAAGGTATTAATAAATTAAAAATATTGTGATGAAAGAGTTACCACTCCGGTGTTTTAGTGGTTAGAGCGTCCCCTTGAATGAGGGTGGTCGTGGGTTCGATCCACAGCCGAAGGATGCCAAAGATTTATAAAAATGATACTAATGGCTCCCTCGGATGGCGCGCAGTATTAAGAGGTTAGTATTAGGTCTGGTCGGTCTGGTGTCAGGATAATTTGGCGGGGTGAGACATCATGATACATGTCTCTGGCTTGATGCCCTAGTGCTAGTCATCACTATAAACTGTTACACTGCAGATATCGTAGCTATATAACAAAAAATATTTTTATTACATAGTCGGTTAACTTTACATGTGCAGTTTCTTATTTTTGATATGAGAACCTGTTAAATATAACTTTATGCTATTCTGATTGGTCATAGTAAGCCAATGAAATTCTTCAGCAGTATTTTATTTACTGAGTGGCTGCGATCGTAGGAAAACTTAATTACCCCGCCTACTGGAACTTTTTGTTTTTACTATTACTGCAAACATTTTGGCGGCCATTTTCATCGAATCGACTGCCTAAAGGGAAGATATGTAAAGAAGTCAGTGCTATGTTTTTCTTGTCGTATGCTATGTCATTTGTAACAGCGATTATCTCGATAACAAAGAGGAAATAAAATAAGTAGAAAATACGATCGTTGAGCTGTACAGCTATTTTTCATTTGTCGTTACACGTGAAGAACACGTATGATGTATTTTAAACATCAAAATGAAATTCCATAGAACAATTGTATTATTTGGTATTAACTTAATATCTTAAAAAGGATAAGATGATGATAATATTTGCAATGAAAAAAAAATCATTTAAGATTTGGGAAACCTCGACTTTTGGTAACATTTTTAAGAGGATAGTTTAGAAACTGTAAACGTGGAAAGTAAACTACAAATACTCACTGGTGGAAAGACTGAAGAAGGTTTATGACATACGGAAATGGCTGAATTTATTTGCAAAGGAATTTAAAAGAAGAGTGAAAAAAGATAATAAATCATGTGGAAACTACCCTTATATTCGCGAAATCATTAGCAGGCATTTAGCAAATTTGGTAATCATAGCCCTGGATTACTGTCTAATACATCCGCATTGATTTAATTATACGTATTGTTCCGAGGTATGAAGAACTGTAGGAGTGTTTGACGCACCTCAGTACAAATGTGGTTAATGTGCCAACATTAGACTAAGTTAGAATTAAAGAAGTTAAGTCTTCCAAAAATTTAATTTCAGTACAAGATACATAATCAAATCCAGATATATTCAATTCTGTATATTCTTTACAATATGCTGGAACAAATCCAACAGAGCGGAAAGCGCTTTCCCTGGTTCTAGCTGGAGAATACTTGATAACATTTAGTGAATTTTTAAATATGAAAAAAATAATAATTACAGGTTAGAGACTTTTAAATTCTTTCTCTAAGGAGATTCGAACTTTGGTCTGCGGGTTACGACACCCGTCACTCTGCCTGCATGCACCAAGCAAGATATCTTGACCGTGCACTCATTACCAAACATGGATGCTACAAAGTATCGGCATCCATTTATACCAACCCAATAAGATATTCTTATCTGCGGTCACTCTTGCTACTTACCACATAGGGGCCGCGAGTGGCCTAGTGGTCTAAAGCGCTGTCCGTTACGGATCACTGCCATCTCACCTCTGTCTGCGTGGGTTCGAGTCTAGGATTCGGCGAATGTGGATATGTGAGAAAGCTTGTCAGTAGCTTCTCGTGGGTCGGTGGTTCTTTCCGGTGATTTCCCGGTTTCTTCCTCCACCATTAATACTGGCCGCCATGAATAGCCTATCGTGTGCTGAAAAATGGCGTTAAGCACAACAACAACTTACCACATAATCGAGGTATGTAAAAGTTAATATATATATATATATATATATATATATATATATATATATATATATATATATATATATATATGCATCAAACAGAGAAGAAAGTGATATCCCTGGAGCCTAAAGAAAAACGCTTCTACCAACGACTTTGAAAAATCATATTTGACAGATTACGATTTCATCGCTTTCTAACGTGTATGATAATACAATTTTACAATATTTTTACAATAATATTGTATATCGATACATAATTGAAGCTATTTACTAATTGCAAAAATGGTATTTACATTTTTCTTTCGGTTGAGGTGAATGGATTCAAATTATACCGGATAGCAAATTGTTGTCAGTTGGTCCCTACATTTAATCTTCAAACATATTTATACTCATAAAATAAGTCTGGTTGTTAATTAATATATTGCTTTTATATTTTCATTTCTATTCGAAATTAGCGTCGACGATTTCTCAAGCAACCGAAAATTGTATTGGTATCAACATTTGCTGGCAAGTCAGTCACCATGACCCGCTTACTAGGCGATATTGTCAGCTACTCACGAAACGATTTGTTATAAGCTTAATTAATAATTTCCATGCTCTTGGTTATTTTATTTTTCTTTGCCTAAGTTACTACAACGTAATTTATTCTAAGAATGTATCACATATTTATTCCAGACATTTATATAAAGTTTTATATCATCAAATTTTTCTTTTGTCATTGCGATTTGCAGCCATCTGATAGGCCAGGCCCATTTGAACTTTCTGAGCTCATACCTGTCTGGGCCATTTTTGAGCCACGCCAACCTGCATTACTTTGTGGTATATACTCAGTGAGGACCATATTTAGAATTTATATTCACTCAAACTCAAAATTCTTGCGTAATATTGTAATTATGAACTAGATACTAAACCTTTTTCTCGGAAGAAATTAGATATTTTTGCTAATGCTAAATGTAAAATGAATAAATAAACTTCGTAAATGATAACTGGATATATGAGTATATTACGAGTATATTATTAGTATATTATTAGTATCGATATTCCAAAGTAAGAACCATTTGCACATTTACTTTCCTTATAAAAATTAATCATAGCGATCAACGGTAATTTTGATTTTTGACAGAATGAAGAAAAGTATGTTTTCTTTGAATAAAAAATATATATAATCACAAAGCGTGATGAAAACTATAAAGCGTGAATTTTAGTGACGCAAATCTAGCACTAAAGTATATCTGATACTAACTTCAATTTTCCTTTGGTTTCAAAGTGTTTATATTTCGTCACGAATAGAAATCCGTTACAAAACTTATATCCTCTTGTGACGTAAAACCTGGCTAGCAGCGATATCGTAGACAATAATAGTAGTTTTCTTAAAATAATAAATATAAGGAAATAATCACTAGAAGCATTCAAATAAAAACCACTTTTACACGATAGAAACCTTATGCAAGTAAGCATTATCAACTATTGATATATAGTCCAAATCAATTAGAGCATTATATAAAATATTCAATGTGCGTGTCATTTTAATACCTTCAAAGACGACCAGAAAAGATCTGCATCATTATCTAAATAAAACTCAGACGGTGTGCATTTAGAAATGCTCTCCTCTTTTAAAGAGATCAGTGTATTGTTTTCTTACAAAATGAGAGAGTACTCATGGCTGAAAACGTCTGATTCTTCAGAAATGTAACCTCTATAACACGATACTATCGAAAAGAATATAAAGTGACAAATTAAATTAACTTTCTTCTACAATTTCTGGAAACTTAAGAGAAATAAAATGCAAGTTTGCCAGTTTGACCCTCTCCCGCTTGAAAAGCAACCACAAATATACCAACGTAAGTGTTTTCGCATAAAAACTGTTTTACATTGAAAAAAAATGTTATACATAACAAACTCAGGTGAAATTATGGCGCAGACGTTTCCTCAGAAATTAATAATACAAGAAGCAGGCAATTGAATCCCTTATGAGTTTGTCTGAAATTAAAAACGAAGAATGCAAGAAATCAATAGCGCTCTTGTTTGCGAAAAATGTGAGGAGAAAGCCTCATATAGATGATTTTCATGATATTGATTCAAATGATGGGTTTCTTAACACACACACACAACACGCGCACGAGCACGTAGGCACGCAAACACATAGACACAGACACACACACACACGCACACACACACACGCACACACACATATATATATATATATATATATATATATATATATATATATATATATATATATATCTATATATATATATATATATATATATATATATATATATATACACACACACATCATCATCATCATCATTAGCAGCTCTGTCTTGGAAGTCCATCTAAATAGCGCCCTTGGAGTGTTTTCTATCTCTGAGGTCTTGGCATCGTCTATCATGGCTGTGCAAGTCAATACGCGAGTGATAATCACTACTGCAGTTGGAGTAGACGTACAGGGAAGTCAGAGTTGCTTGGTTTGCTGCTGCACGCTTCTTTCTCTCGCTTTTCTCAGCGGCCTGCTGAGCTCTCCTCCCATCAGCGACCGCTATGCCCTTGCTATAACTGTCAGTCTCCAGGCGCCACGATCGTCGGCCTGTACTTTTCAGCTGTCTGGTAAAATACCGCATGCCTTCATGTCCCTCTTGCACACATGCCTGAAGCGGAGTGACGGCCGGCCAATTCGTCTGGTGCCAGTAGACAACTGGCCATATAGGATCTTCTTTGGCAGTCTCCCACCCTCCATGCGTCGGACGTGTCCCAGCCATCGAAGGCGGCGTTTGCTCAGCAGAGCGTATATGCTTGGGATACTTGCACGTTGAAGGATCACGTTATGTGGAATGTGGTCTTGCCAGCCGATTTTCAGGATGCATTGTAGACATCGTCCTTTAATGGCGTTTATCTGCACACCAGGTCCGACGGTAGTTTTTCAACTTGGCACGTCTATCCTTAAAGACCAACGTGAGGCAAGTACTCATCTGGGAGATGCTCTTTGCTCACGACGTGGCTCTTGTGACACACACTGAGGATGCACTCCAGAGATTGGGAGACCGTTTTGCTGATGCCTGTAAACCGTTCGGGCTCACCATCAGCCTGAAAAGATAAATGTCAGTGGTCAAGATGTCACCACAGCCCCTTCCATCAAAATCGACAGCACCACCCTGGAAGCAGTCAACAACTTTATTTATTTGGGATCAACCATCAGCAACACTATTTCTCTTGATGTAGAACATGGTCCGACTAACAAA